CTTTCTCTTTTCCTGCCCCTCCCCTCACTGTCTCCTGAGGAAGGTTAGGCTCACCTGGGAGCCTCTCTCACCTCCCTCTTCCCCAGACTCCTCAAGGGTCTGTCTCTCTCACATCGCTAGGATCCAAAGATCACATGCTCATAGGTCCTTTTGTTACTACCCAGTCCAAAAGTACAGGTGTATTGGCACATACTCGCCACATCTCCCTGCCTCGTTTTCAGATTTTTGGAACAGTGCCTTGCACCGTATAATACTTCATCTGGAGATGTGTTATAACTAACTGGTCAGCAACACAACCTCAGGCTGAGAGCACAGTAGCAGGACACCTGCCTAGTATCCGTAGGCCTTAGGCTTCATGCTTCATCCCTAGCAACACACACACACACACACACACACACACACACACACACACACACACACACACACGTAGTGCCAAATTACTTGAGCTGTGTCCCAGATCGACTGATGGACAGTCATGTGATCTTATATAACTTACTTATCCTTCCTGTGCCTCAGTTTCTTCATCCTTAAGATGGAGTAGTTGTAGCCATTGAACTGGGGTGTGCATGTCACTTACAATAATGGCTGACATAAAGAAAACACTGAGAGTTCCAGCATCTGGCTGTCATGTTTATTGTATGTCTTTCCAGACAGAACACAAGTCTGCTCACGGAAGGAAGTATCGTATGTTTTGTTCTTTGCTCTGTTTCTCAGTTCCTGGGAAAGCCCCTGGTACTTCTTAGATGCTCAGTGAATGCTTCCCCAATGAATGGAGTTGGTGCTCGGGAGAAAGGTCAAATACAGAATGAGCGGTCTCTCTATTCTTTTCTTTAAGAAGCAGTGCTTGAAGTTTCAAAAGTGATGAAACAGAATAGAGAGGCAGGAAAAGTCAGAATGCCAAGAGAAACCTAGAATTGAATTTTAATTTTTTTTTATGTCAATAGTGATGGGACAAGCAGAAGACGAATGAACAAACCAAGTCAAGAAATGGCCAGAAACCCAGGCAACACTCAAGACAGGGCATCATCTTACCAACCCGTGGAAAGGAAAGCTTTAAGATGGGGGGCAAAAACTAATAACGCTGGGACAGGTTGAAGCCTGGCTAGGGCTCTGGACTCAGCCTGGCGGTGAGCACTGGTTAATTTCAAAAGATGAAACTCAGTAGCAAGGAAAGAGGGATGCCAAGACCGAAGTACATCAAGGAAGGGGACGTTGACTGGCCCTGAAATTGAGCATCAAAAGCCAATGGGAACAAACAGAAAAGGAAAGATACCAAAATATAGCTGTCCCTCATAGTAGCAGCCAAAGTCCTTTCCAAGTCTTCCCAAGGCAAACATTATTATAGCATTAACTATTCATACATATAATACATTTACTGACCACAGCTTCGGTAGTAAGTGTTTTTACAGGTGGAAGTGAATCTCTCTGTGTGTCCTTCTGTATTCTGTCAGAGAATTGTTTCCAGAACAGGTACAATGTGAGCATCTGTGTACATAATCGTTTTGCAGGCAATCAGCCTCCACAAGCTCTTCTCTCAGTTTTCTTCCTCATAGAATTCCAAACTGCTTTGTGGTCTGAGTCCATTAAGTGAGTATGCCCAGACTGAAAGGGAAAAACAAAAACAAAAGACAAACAAAAAGCATGTTCTAAATCATAGGAACTATTAGTGTTCTAAATTCTTTCAAGGCAGCTGAAACAAGTAACCCCAGTTCACCCTTTTCATTATCTGTCCTGTGGCACAGTAAAGGGACGAGGAAGAAGTGAATGTTTCTTACCAATGCCCACTGGGGGTGGCGAGGTGGTACACGACACACTGGGTCTTACAGGCTCCCTTTAATGACAAATAGAACAGTGGGAGAGTGCAGAAGCCAAACCCTTGGAGGCCTCTGGCCCACACAGAGCAGAGGCCAAAAGAGTGTGCCAGCTTCCTGGAATTGTGCACTGGAGTTAAATCCATAACACTCACAACCAGGTTGTAAATTTTAGGCCATAGTTCATTAACTCCAGAAGTTCGAAATGATACCCCCTGCTCGCCCAGTCAATGCAGCTGAGAGTTTTCCCGGTGTGTGATGATCCATCAACAATTGGATTCCAATATCTTTTGCTTCATTAATAGAGTCACACGGGCCCCTCCTGTGGAGCTGGGGAAGGCTTCTGCTTCCAAGCCTTTGTCGCTGGGCTGGGCTGCAGTTTGAGCTTCCAGCTACAGGCAGACCCCTAGTACACCTGTTCCTGACTTCGAGTCCAGGGTCTCCAGGGTGACCAAAGTCAGCAGCAAAGGCCTTCCATGGCATGTTTAGCTTTAATGAGATGGTTGAACAGTGACTCATGGTGGTGCATATGGTAAGAAGCCTCACATAGCCTATGGCCATTTTACCCTAAGCGTATTCCATCTCATCTGACCTTAGCAATTACTCGGTCTTGAACCTGGTTAGTGAAAGAATAGAAGATAAACCTTACTCAGCTGAAGAATCTTCATTGTCTCTTGAATCCCAACCTGTGGTTTTGTTGACTTTCAACCCAACAACCTTCCATAGGCTAAGGCAGAAATCTATCCCATCTGACGAGGTCCCTAAGGAGTCACCTCACTCACACTGGCCAAGTGGTCGTCAGCTTCCAGAGGGAAGCTGGAACTAAGCTTGCAAGCATGTGGTTTCATGAGTCACAGCCAAGAAGCAACCCTAGTCTCAGAGTGTGTGGAGCTAAGCTGGTCTAGAACAATCAAAGGCATAAAAGCCAGAGATGTGAGCATCACCTGTGTTCAAGAAACAGCTGCCACTATCCAAATAGAAACCCCCACTCCAGCACTGGCTCAGGGTCAAGTTTGGATATGGGGGAAAAAATCAAATTAATGTCAAGGGTTGGGGCAGTCCAAAATAGCAAAGAGCCAGGGCATGCTTGAAGGCACTAGACACAGAGATGCTTACGACGGTCACTGCATGATGCATACTGGTTCAGCCTTGCTAATGGTACTGGTGAAGTCAAACAGAATCCTGAGGCAACCTGTTCCCTCCCCACAGCCCCTTTCTCCGGCAACTGACAAGAGTTGCAATGATAAAGGCCCACAGTACAAACAGAAGGGCACCACCGCCTCGATTTTCAAAACCTTTCTGAAATTCAAATAAGGTTCTTTTCCTTAGCAACCCTGCCCACTGGGAATTCTGGTTTTTTGGTTGTTGTTGTTTTTTTTTTCCTTCCCCCAGCTCCCAAAGTCTCCTGCTTTCTAAGCTACTAAAACAACACACATTGTAGCCCCCCTAAATGCCCAGTGCCCAAAAGCCGCAGCATCGTTTTCTGCCTCCTGTTAATAAATTGTTCTTCTCTTTGCACAGCAGAGAAAAGATGAAGACAAAATTGGGGGGAATTATTTCCCAAGTATTGTTTCTCTAACAATAGCAATCCTTGCTCCTGAGAACTCTGTTTTGCTTAATATGTTCTTTCGGTAAAGTGGGAAAATGTGACAGTGTAATAACCCAAAAAGCAGCATGAAGTACCTGATTCCCCCAAAGTGTCCACTGAGAAAACAGACGAGAGTTTCCATCAAGAAGGAATCGTGCGTACTGAGAGAAGGTAAGTGCACAAAATCAGGGTCTGCAATAAAGTGGGGTCCAGACGTCAAGGATTAAATGTTTGGATTCTCTACTTCATGGTAGAAGTGTTTGTGGGAAGAATGGGACTCCCTGTCTTTACTTGATGGGGTAGCGCGCGCACGCACACACACACACACACACACACACACACACACACACACACACAGCAAATATATACCTTCCTCACAGAAAAGAAGGAAAATTAGCTGCTTTAAGTATCAAATAGCTTCTGGACAACAAAAACACACCAAGACCAAGAAAAAAATCAGAGCAGATTTCAGTAACCATGGGCTTTAGAGCTAGGTATTGGGAAGGGTATCTAGACATCCTGAGTCTTAACCCCTGAGACTGGTAACCAGTGGTATTTGAGGGATGGAGTCAGGAAGTTACTCTGCAAATCAGCTCCAAAATCTTTCTTTTTCAGAGAGAAGGAATACACCACATCGTCACAGAGATGCCCTTTACCGTCCCTCTTTCCTAGTTCCTAACTGATACACACATACCTTCAGAACACATCATGTGTGAGCATCACTTTAGTAGGAGATGAGAGAAAGGGAAAAGGGTGCTTATGAGGGTTAGATGGAGAGAAGAGGCAGAGACTCAAATAGAAGTGGCCAGAGGCTGATTTGCTATGGTGGGATGGTGGGAGAAAGGACAAAAGTGCACATCACAATTGAATGGCAAAGCCGGCAGGTGAAGGCAGACACAGGATGAAATGATGCTGTCAGTCAAGGGCTATAACATGTGGGCAGGATACTATGTCCTGTCCATGTGGACCTCCATGCACTGGTCTCCTCAATTCTGCATCTTTTCACACATAACTATGGTGCCTCTCATCACACAGGCTAATTGCATTTTTTCCCTTCTCCTAGACTTTGGGCCTGGCCCACATGTGTTTTGTTCTTGAGCTGTAAAGGGAGAACGAGTATAACATCTGGGGGCTGCTCTGCGTACCTCAGCCATTGTCTTACCCAAGACAGGCACAGAGAGACACACAGACGAGAAAGGAACTGCCCGACCTGCTTCCGGTGTTAACCATCCAATCCGTCTAAGCTCTTTCCATGTTCTCTCAGTACCCCACCCTGCCTTCTCTCATGCTCAAGGCCAGCAGCATGATTGGACAGTGTTCTGCTGGGTAAATCCCCCAGCCCAAGAGCTATTTGGTGTGGCTCCATGAGCAGTGTTGAGCTCACCAGGACCACCGGCTCCAGCAAGTCTTGCCCCATTCCCAGATTGACTCCCTGCTACATTGCCCACGTTCTTCCTCCAACACGCATGAGTCAATTGTGTTAGATGGGCAAAACAGGATGCAGATGGCAGGGGAGGCAGGTGAAATGCTTCCAAAGCCTTCATTTCTCCCTAAGAAGAGAGGTAACATATAGGATGAAGAATGCAGAGTAGAAGGTGATTGGTGTCTGTATGAGACAAGTCTCTGCAGTGAGATCTATATACGAGGGCTCCGGCGCTTAAGCAAAATGAGAAGTCCCAGAGTCCAACCTTCTGCAAACTGGAGAGCCTGAAAAGGCAGTGATGAAATTCAGTCCAGGTATGATGGCCATGGAGAGCCAAGGGAGGCCACTAGGACAGGTTGCCTGGAGTCTCGAGGCTGGAGAATCAGAAGCTCTGATTTCTGAGGCAAGAAACGATGGCTTTCGACTAGACATTGGACATATCACCTCACACTCTCACTCTGAGATTAGGGAGCACTGTGAAAGAGTCAGTGAAGAGATGGTAAGAAACAGAAGTTGGGTGGGACGGCTGTGAAATAGTATCTTCTAGTTAGGAGATCTGTTGCCCTCGTGAACTCACAACAGCTCTGGTTGCCCGCACAAGATCAAACCAGTTAACACTCCATCACAGATGGAGGAAGGGCGAAGGACTTGGAAGCCTCCACCCTTAACTCTTGGCAGGGGTTGGCTACTGGGAGAGAAAGAGCAATTTTTCTTCAGGGGTGTGGCCCATGGTAGGTTGCCCATGCTCAAGTGGATGGTCCTTTACCTATGGGCCTAGAGGCAGCATCGATTAGACTCAATGGATTAAGTAAGGGATTGGGAGGAGGAGGTAGGGAAGGTTTTGGAGGAGTTGGGGGTGGGGAGTAGGGACAGATATGATCTAAATACATTGTTTCCATGTATGTAACTGCCAAAAAAATTTTCAAAAAATGGGTAGAGGGGACGAAATGAACCTTTACTCTGTTTCTTGTTCTACCTGTCCTCAGTGAAGTAGGTCACACCCACCCTCGTTGAGGCTACCAGGAAACACCCTCCCAGGCATAATCAGGCATGAAGCTGATGCCCAGCTCTCTGGGCATCCCACAGTCCAGTCTGGTTGACAACTTTATGAGCACCATCAGTGAGCTCCAGATGAAGTGATGTCAGTGATAAAAGGAGCTTACTTTGGGCTGAGGATCTCGGGGGAAGTGTCAGAGAAAAGGTGACTTTGAACCGGATCTTGAAGGATAGAAAGGTTTTGCAGGTATGGAGAAAGGGAGGAGGCAGGAGAAGCCCCTCAGGCTGGGGAGGCGGGGGATCCGGCTGGGAAACCTTCCTAGGAGTTATGAAATCACCTTAGAGCTGTGAGAGTTTTTTGGCATGGGTCCATATGCAGCGTGTGCACGTGGGGATGGGGGAATCTCCTCCTGAAAACCTAATTTGTCAACACCCTGGGCTCAGAGGAGAAAAACAGAAGCTAGCGTCTCGTTAGCTTTGAACGACCACAGTCCCTTGCATCGGCGTGGCTGCTGTGACTGCGGCGAGGCCTGTGTAAATAGCGCCGGATGGGATTGTAGCTAATAGGGTTATTAATACCTGTCACATCCCGGGATGGCAGAATAATGTGGAGGTTTTCTACTATAGATTAAAACCAACCAACGGGGAATTTTCCGAGGCTGGCAGTCACAGCTTTCTCTTCAGACAGCTTTTCCTCCAGCCATGCAGACGGGGGTAAGTAATTGTCCCGGGGAAAGGTTTGTCACCACGGTAAACGCAAAAGCGGGAACAAGCCTGCCTCGCTTATCCTCAGGCAAGAACATGGGTATTCAAAACTCACAGACAATCCCAAACCTCCCAGCAGCCTGTAGATGTGACCTCTTTCCTGGCCCAGATAGTCACCCCAAAGAAAAGCCACCTTTATTTGAGCTTCCCGTCGTTTGCTCTTGAGTGGGAAGAAGACAGAGAGCTGGAGAGAAGGAACCAGACACAGGGTTGAGAACTCTGCAGGTCCTGGGGCCCTGCCGCTCCATTGAGCAGAGCAGTTCCAAGCAGGAAAGGGCTGGCGATACTCTTGTCTCCTCTGGGCCTCTTCCAGAACCTGGAGTGTGGTCTTGCTCTTCCATAGAGATCTCCAGAAGTCCCAGTGAAGGGGCTGAAACAGCAACAAATAGTGCTGTGGGGACAGTCTTGATGGCTTCTCCTCCTGTGGGACGCATCAAGCCCACGTCATCCAGAAGAACTTCCTTGGGAAAACATGTCAGTGAGAGCGTTAGCTTGATTTCACCTTTGTGCCCTTGCACTCCCACGCAGGTGTCTCAGGAGACCCTTTGTCCTGCTGGCCTCTCCAGGCCTGGTCCACTCCCCTTTGCCAAAGCTCGCCAGAAGAAGGCTGTAAGTGTCTGGGGCTTAGACAGGGCTAAAGGACATATGCTATTGCCCCTTAAAAGCTCTCGGCAGTGGGTTAGTGGGCAGGGGTTCACCTGTCAAATGCTCTGGTTAGGCCTGCCTGGGGATACAGAAGGAAATGTGGGACTCCTGGTGTTCTCTATAAATGAGATTCTGTACCACAGTTCCGTCCCTGATCCCTGGAGAAAATCAGGCCTGCTTGAGAAGGCTGGGCTCGTGGTTTTTGTTGTTGATGTTGTTTTGGAGATAAACACTTGATACTACCTTTATTTGGGGGTCCTTCATTTCCCTTTGTGTATGACACTGATCCCAGGCCCCAAATTCTTCACTTTCTCAGTTCCCCACTGTCATAGATTGGATTGAGTATCTTTGAAATGGATAGATGAATCTCTGCACAATGCCCATTTGACTATGTTTAAAGGCAGGACCCTTAAGGAAGCAGTGGAGATTAAGTAATGCCCTAGGGACAGGACCCTAACCCAAATGAACTGGTACCTTGGGAGAAAAGGAAAGGCCACATGATGAAAGTGTCTGAAGAACACAAGCATTATGTCTCTCCAAAATCCTTGTTGAAATCTAACCCCGGTGCTGGTGATATTGAGAGGTAAGGCCCCCACTAAGTGGTTAAGTCTTGAGGACCCCACTCTCGTTGATGGGGTAAGTAGCCTCTTAAAAGAATCTCAGATCAGGTCTCCTTGCCCCTTCCTCTTCCTTCTGGGTGAGGGCTAGGAAGAAGGGACCATCTCTGAAGCAGAGATCAAACCTTCACTAAAAACCACATCTGCTGGAGGCTTGACCTTCAACCTTCCCAGCCTCCAAGACTCTGAGTAATAAGGTCATATCATTTAAGAATTACTTAATTCTGTAGGGTACTTATGATATAGCACAAACAAACCAAGACAGTAGCCATCTTCAAACTAGGAAGAGAGGTCTCACCAGAGGCCAGCACTGCAGACATTCTTATCTAGGACATTGAGACTCCAGACTTAGAGAAAATGAGTTTCTCTTTTTTAAGCTCTCCAGTCTGTGCTACCCAATCATGGCAGCCCCAGCTGGCTGACACACCTGCTTCGCCCTAGTATCTTAGAGGGAACGAAGGAGGGCCCTTCCAATCCTAAAGATCAGCACAAATTAGTGCAGTGATTCCAAGGCAGTGTTGCCTAGGAGATAAGGACATGGACTGGGCCCACAACAAGGCTGTCTTTTTCTCACCATAACCTTTTCATGGTCGTCTGTCCTGTAGGAAGAAAATTGTACAATTGCCCTGCAGGAACGATGAGGTGGATACCAGCACACAGTAAGCACTCAATGGCATGTTATGTGTTCAAGATTATTGTTTTATTGGCCCTACTGTGGATCAACAGAATGACCTTGGACCTACTTTTCTTCTGTGTAAATAATAAAGATAGATGCTTCCCATCTTCCAATTGTTGGTATTCTGAAGGGAAACCGTGGTGGTTTGAAAGAAAATGGCCCCCAAAAGGAGTGGCACCAATGGGAGCTGTGGCCTTGTTGGAGTAGGTGTGGCCCTGTTGGAGGAAGTGTGTCACTCTGGGAGTGGGTTTTGGGGTCTCCAATGCTCAAACTACACCCAGTGAGACAGACCCCTTCCTGTTGCCTTCATATCAAGATGTAAAACTCTCAGCCCCTTCTCCAGCACCATGTCTGCCTGCATGCTGCCATGTCCCACCATGATGATAAACTAAATCTCTGAAACTAAGCCACCCAATTGAATGTTTTTTCTTTATAAGAGTTTCTCTGCTCATGGAGTCTCTTCACAGCAGTAGAAACCTAACTAAGACAGAAGCAGGGACAAGGAAGAAAAATGCCTAAGAAGTATGAGCTCATTTTTGTTATTTCTATTATTACTGTTACCTTTAGTGGCTCTTCTACTGTATGAGTGATGCCCCAAGAGTCCCCACACTCTGCCTCTGGCTTCTTCAGATGCCTCTCAGGTATGGCCAGACAGAGGACTGGCTGTATCTGCTGCCATTTCCTCTTAGAAGCTTCTGTTCCCCCAAGGTGACCTTTGCCACCCTTGCCCAGTGGTACAAATAGCTGTGATGGGCAGAAACCGGAAATCTTGAGGAATGCAGTTAGACCTTGGATATTTGCCCCAAAGAGCCTACACACTGCTGAGTCCCCAGCCTGTGGTGCTCTTGGGAAGTGACCTGCCCTTTGGAGGTAGCATGGAGCAGAAGGAAGTAGCTTTCATCATCAGATGTTATGAATGTCACTCAGGTGCGCCTTCAAAATGATATCAGGGTCCCAACTCCTCTTTTATCTTTTTCATTGCTTCTTGGCCACCATGAAATGAATGTCTTCCTCTGCCATGTACTGGCACCATGGTGTCCATCCTTGCCGCAAGCCTGGAGGTAGCCACACCCAGCAACCACAGACTTACACCTCTGAAACTGTGAACCCGGCAAGCATTTAAATGTTGATTTATCAAGGAGGTGGATCTATCTTAGAGGTAAATCACTAACTTGGGTGCTCTCTGGCGTCAATGCTGAGCATTTAAGAAGTCTCGGTGCTAGAGAGCTGCCTGACTCTTGTGCCTTCTTTCCTTATTCTTGTCCGGTTCTGCATCAGCCAAGGGTTGCACTCTTGCCTCTCTGCCCCTGATAGCAGAGCATAACTGTGATGGCAACCAGGGGCAATACTTTCAGAGTACAGCTGACATCCAAATCCCAGCTGTCTTGTTGGGAACTGAGTGACAAGCTTGCCTTCTGCATCCTCAAGCTCTCAGGTAGTATGGGGGCTCCTCCTCAGCAGGTCTACAGAAAAGGCAAAGGCCAGCTGCCGACAGCCCTGGAACTGATCCTGGGCACTCAGCCTTTTGTGGCCCATCCCCCTCTCAACTTCCTTCCAGAAAATACTCTGCCCATCCCAGCAGCCAAGGAATCATGCCAACCGCTAGCCCAGAGGGCAGGGCTTCACGGACGCTTCTAAATGATTCATTGGCTGGTGGAACCATCTAGAAAGTACATCTTTCTTGGGTCCCAGATGTCCCTGAAAGCACAGGAGTGATACCTGCAGTTGTCTGGTTTCTCACTCTTGCTGTCTTTGACAATCTCTCCCTCGTTGACCAAGGGGGGGTCAGGTGGACATGGGAGGGAGAAAGAGTTAGGGGCATGTATTCACAATGGCTGGGTCCAGTTCACAATAAAAGACCTCCACAAATCCCCTCCTTCTCTCCCTCCCCACTCTCTGACAGAGAGAGAGAGAGAGAGAGAGAGAGAGAGAGAGAGAGAGAGAGAGAGAGAGAGAGCAAAATCCAAAATCAGCAAGTGACACTGGTATTAGTCCCAGGACTCTCATACATGGAATGATGTAACAAGCTGATAAAGAAGCACACATAAGGAGTGTTATTTCTGAGTGGGGACAAAGCACTCAATACTGCCAGGATGAGCCTCCCCGCTCCCGGCCCCCCTCCGCCCTCTTGGCTGTTTACAGTAAAACTTCATCACAAGCTGCTATTAAGCTTGGCAGTTACTGTAAATGCTGCTGTCCCTGTTGACTTCCACAGCCCCAGGACATTTTATCCAAGACAGAGTGGCTTCAACGGAGACCCAAACCTCCACTCGCTTCTCTTCAGAAAGTAGAAAGTGCCCTAGAGAGAGAGAGAGATCAGCCCGTCCTCCAGCTGGAGAATGTCGGCTCCCTCCCCTCACTCAGGGCTGTAAAGACGATAATGAAGTCAGCAGGGCTGGTGGGATAGATTCCAGAACAAAATGAAAAGCAGTTTGGCCATTATGAGGAAGGCCAGAGAGCATCATCCGACCTCTTCTATCTGTTTTCTCGCCACCTTGACGGAGGGAGAGAAATAGCCTATTCTGGGGTCTATAAATGAAAACTGGACATGGGAGCAGGGTGAATTGTTTGGGATGGGGAGGCTACAGCGTCTGCCGTCGCCTGAGCGATTGTGACAAGATGAGGAGTCACCCGGAGCAGTCAACCATCTTCGTCTTCACCGGTGTGCTTCCTTTCCCCAAAGAAGCTTCAACCTCTAGATAGAAGCCACCGAGGGACTTGCTTAAAATTCCCTATGATTAATTCATGGCATTTATCTCACTTTCATCTGAATTTTAGAGGGGAGGCAAAGCTCAGCACCTCGCCCAACATCCTAAAGCCAAGGCTCCTTCGTCTCCACACAGCTGGTGCCTGCCGCTGTGCCGGGCACAGACATGTCCACTAAGCTCCGCTTGAGTGCATGTTGGCTGCCAAGTGTGAGGCAGACATGGGCAAAGCGGTGGCCTTCCTAATGAGAAAACCTGGGGTCAAATCCTAGCCCCGCCATTTGATAGCTCCATAACTTTGAAGCATTTCATTTCTCTGAGACCCAATTTCCTCTTCTGTAATTTGGGGGTAATAATGCCTGCGTGATGAGGCCATTGGGCAGATTAAATGAAATAAAGATGTTAAAGCGTTTCTCCCAGTGTCTGGCACACCAATAAATCTTGTTGGATCTGAATCTGAGGGATCAAATATTGACCTCCCCAAGCCCCAGAGAAAAATGCCCGTGCCTCTGAATAGAGCACTGTCAGCAACAGGGATTATCTGCTACAAATCCAGGGTCAGCCATCACCGCCCCCTCCCCTAGCGTCCCTGAGCCTCTCTCTATTTCCTTCCTCCCACTCCCCAGATGATGTGTGCTCTGAGAAAGCTAACGAATTTTAATATCATCCTAAGTCAAACATCATTATGAAAGTAAACCAGCTTGGAAGAAAAAAAAATAAAAGCACAGAACACATCCCAAGGCCAAATGTAAATGGTTTTTAGATTCCCCATTATTTTAAGTTACCTATGCCCAGGAGATGCTGGGAAGACAACCTAAATTCATGCAGATAATCAAGAAGTGATCATCTGGATGACTTGCTTGTACAGTGTATAAAACAAAGACCCCCCAGCTTGACTTCAGAGAGACTCTCCCCCTCATATTGCAAGGGGCTTGTGATGGTTCAGGGTAGGGAGAGTAAGTGGGTAGATGTTCCAAATTTCTCAGTGTGGAGAGGTCTGTGGCCATGGCTAGTATTCTTAAGCAGTGGAGGGGTCTCATATTCCAGGAGCTTCCAAATGCAATAATTTGTTTAACTCTTAAAGTGTGCATGGTCTGTATCTGATGTGTGTGTGTGTGTGCGTGTTATGTATTTGTGTGTATGTGCTGTATGTGTGTTTGCGTGTGAATGTATACGTGTGTACAGAGGCCAGAGGTTGATGTCAGGTGTCCTCTATCCTTCTCTACCTTACCTTCTGAGTCAGAGACCCTTCACCGAAGCTGGAGCCTACCAATTCAGCTACACTGGCTGGCCAGCAAGCTCCAGGGATACACCTGTCACTGGAGTTACCAACTTCTCTCATCAGTTACATTGCAGTTTCCAGTTCATGCTACTTTACCCAGCTTCCACGTGTGGATCAGGGACCCAACCTCAGGTCTGCATATCAGTACTTTATCCAGTAAGCCATCTCCTCAGCCCCTGGGATTAGTTATTTATGCTGTTGTGACCTAAAAGTACTTGAAAGAAACAGTTTATTGAAGGAAAGACTTATTTGGCTCACAGTTTCAGAGGGTCTCGGACCATCTTGGCAGGCTAGACATGGTTCTGTGCTTGTCAGGAAACATGAGGTAGAGTTAATCAGGAAATAGGAAGTGTGTCTGTCAGTACTAGGGACTGGATTATTTTCAAAGCCTTTCCTCCAATGAGCCTACTTCTGCCAGTCAGGCCACACCTCCTAAAACTTACAAAGCCCCCAAGATAGCACCACCAGCCAGAGAGCAAAATGTCAAACCGTGAGCCTATGGGGGACATTTTGCTTTCAAATCATAACATTTCACCCCTGGCTTCCAAGGTTCATGGCTTATCTCATACCTGAAAATACATTTAGTTCAACCTCAGGAGTTTCTGTAATTTTAACAACCCCAACACTGCTCCAAAAGTCCAAAATCTCTTCTGAAACCCAGAGCAAGCTCTTAGCCATGAGCCCCCATAAGAATCAAAAAGACAGTTGCATACTTCCAACATACAACTGCATGTAAACATTCTCATTCCAAAAGAGAGGAACAGAAGATTTGCAAGGAAAGAATGACCCAAAGCAAGACTAAAGCCCAACAGAAAAAAATCATCAAATCTTGTAGCTTCATGTCCAGCATCTGGGGCACATGGTGGCATGATGTGGGCTCCAATGGTCTTGGGCATCAGTGAGTTATGGCCCTACTTCCTGTAACATCTATGGGTTTATCTCTTAGGCTTACTCCCCTCAGTACCTGCAACCCTCCTTAGCACTCATCTCACATTATAGACATCAAAACATCCTGAGGTCTTCATTATAACTTGAACTTCCCCCTCAAAATTTCATGCATAGCCCATTCAGGGGCTCCTGCAGGGAACTCAACTCCATTGCACATTGTATAGTCTTTA